AAGCTGAGACACCTAATTTTACCACAAAAAACTGGGAAAACCTTTTGGCTTGAGTATAACCTAGGGTGGGAAATGCAGCAGCTACTGGTAAATTTCAAAATAAAAATAGATACCAACAAAATTACATTAATCGAGGTTTACAGCTTCTCCTCTCCTCTCAGCACAGCAACCCAGCTGGGTTGCCGCACACCTTCCTCTCCTCCTCCTCTCTTGGCACAAAGATCCAGCTGGGTTGCTGTGCCAAAGGGGGAGGAGGCACGCATCTGGTGAAAGCCCCGCAAAGAGCTTCTTTCAGCCCCACACCTTCCCACCAAGACCCTCATTCAAGTATAAGCCGAGGGGGGCTTTTTTTCAGCATAAAATGTGCTGAAAATCTAGTCTTATACTCGAGTATATACAAAATATAAAAGGACAGCCATGCCTTTTGCAAACAATCTAGTCCTTGTCCAGCTGCAAAACTAGATTAATTATGGAGGGAGATAAAAGAAATTTCAACGAGCATTTGAATGTGTTTTCTTCAGAGACAAACACAAAACATGTGTTCTCTGCCACAGTATTGCAGGGACAGTGTGGCAGGTCAGAGAAAATAGCCATATATGAAACAATACACTTTAAGATTCCCGCAAAAGTTCAATGCTGAAATTGGAACCATGCAATTTCTTTCTAAGTAAACATCCATAGGATTATACAGTAGACTTTCCACTTTTGTGGACATTTGGGGAGGGGTGTCCATGAAAATGGAAAAACCATAAATAAAAAGGGTTGATTTAAATTTTTTATTTAAAGAGTTTCATAACAATATGAAACTCTCTAGTTTAAATAAATAAATAAATGCACATGACCATTGGTCGGAGCATTAATAATTTGATTGATTGATTGCAGATTGCATAGTAATATGGTGCCCATGACATGATGGGTCCCCTAGTACTCCTGCGATCATAGCACAATGAAATCACTGGTACAATGTCCGTACTGATGGGTTCATAAAGCCAGTAGTTGAGTGTTGAGTGTTGAATTATGTTTATGAAGTCAGGGGTTTGAATCCCTGCTTGGCCGTGGAAACCCACTGGATGCTAGCCATTATCTTTGTAATAAAAAAGCACAGTTTTCTGTGTAAACAACCTCATGTACACTTTTCATGAAGAATATGTGTCTAACTGCAAAAATTCTTATCTATCCAGATTTCTCATCAGAGTTTACTGCTTCTCTTTTTAAATCCTGGATTTGAGTATTTACAGACATTTTTTCCATCCCTCATTTCTGCCTAATGCATTAGGATACAGTGGCTAATGTTTCAATAACACCATTCACAGCAGTGCACAGATTCTGTAACTAGATCAAAGTTAAAATCTGTAGTGGATATTCCTTAAGCATATGGTGAATCTCCCCCACACACAAACACTTTATTTCACACACAAACACTGTTGAATCCTTAGATTAAGAAATGTGACTCCCCCCCCCCCCAGCTCAAGATTTCCTCCCTCTATCCCTATTCTTTTCTTTCTTCTCTCCCATGATCTTCTGTAGTATGAACAATGACTTCAAACTACAGGAAAAGAGATTCCACCTGAAGATTAGGAAGAACTGTCCCAGACTGTAATTGAGGCTTCTTCTTTGGAGACTTTTAAAAAGGCTGGATGGCCATCTGTCATGGTGTTTTGAATGCAATTTTCCTGCTTCTTGGCAGGGGATTGGACTGGATCGCCCAGGAGGTTTCTTCCAACTCTATGATTCTATGATCTCTTTATCTCAGATACTTCTATAAAAGAGGAACCAACAAAGGAACATCTACCTCCTGCCTTGCTCAAACCAGTGGATGTCATATGTTTTACACTTCTTATACCATAAACTCTTTTCATTGCCTGTATTAGCTGAGTCTGATGAGCACTCCAGTTTATAACATGTAAAGGACACTAGATGAGGACATTTGACCTAGCTATGGAAGCTCTATTGGCTAAGAGATCAAAGCTTCATTCTGCCATCTTCACCCAAAATTTTGGGCTACTCAAATAAAAAAAAACTTGGGTGACTGAGTGGCCTTTTCTATTAATTCAGTTCAGTTCTGATGCTTAAAATGAAAATCATAATCTCAGCCAATGCTCAAAAGTACTCTTTAATTCTTTTTGTATGATAGGAAGCTAGTAAAGCTTGAGGTTCTAGTAATGAATCATGTACGTCCAACAAGCCTGAAATATTCCCTCCTCCACTGTAAGATGATGGGTTCATCAAAATGCATTGAAGGATAAACTACATGGTATATTGACTACATAGCATTCCGTTGATCCCCATGTTATTTTACTTTGAAGTAAGCATTCCGATCAGGATTATCATGCATGAAGGGAAATAGGATTACTAAAAACTCCCTCCATTAGCATCAAAAGAGTTTGGCTGTTCAGTTAACTCCTGTGAGTGTCAGCTTAGGGTTGCCAGAATAAAAACATGAAAAAGTGTGTGTGTGTTTTATACTTGTGTATAAAAGGGTATTTTGGCAGATATTGCTTGCTACCTGGTTGGACTTGCTGAATTTTCCTCTTCTACACTGCCATTAAAATGCAGGGACCATCTCAAGGTTTTGATCTGGTAATACCAGACCAGATATACATCAGTTGTGTCTGCTTTCAGATGGAGACATGTAAGAAAATTGTCCTTGTTTTTGTTTCTACTGCTGCATCCATTCATTATCTACCTGTAATCAATAAAACCATTTTATGTCATCCCTGGTTTGATTTTACTTCAGTCTGTCCTTGAACTTAGTTTGGCTAGGTTTTGAATGAGAGCTCTCATTCTGACCTTTAGGTGAATTTGTCCCTTAGGAATGAGAAACGTTGAATCAATTTCTATTGGTGAAAAGCTATGCAGACTGTCAAGTGACAGAGGACAGCACAACATTTTTCATTGTCACTGAATCTAACCAGGACATAGTCTTGAATTTCAGCACTCTCCACTGAAGAGAAATTAACTCAGTTAGCCTAGAGGAAAATGTTTGCCAGTAGAACAGGCAGAACAATGTTTTAAATTTGGCCTGAAACAAATTCCATTTTGTAGTACATAATGACCAACTGCTAAAAGTGAAGGAGGGCAAATAAGGTAATGCTCCATATCCAGATATTCTAGACTCTTAGCAGTATGGTAAATATCATTGGAGCCAATTTTTGCATGGCTTCCCCTTCAGTGGGCTTTCATCCTACTTTTGAAACCTTCCATTACAAATAATAGGAAAGAATTAGTTTACAGTATATAATAATAATAATAATAATAATAATAATAATAATAATAATCTTTATTTATATACCGCTCAATCTCCCCAAGGGGGACTCAGGGCAGTTTCCAAGCAACATCACCAAAACATACAGAGTAATCAGCATAACATAAAATTAACAAAACAACATAAGCATAAAATTATCACAATAACATATATATATTAAAAATAATCCTTCCTGCTTAGAGCATTTAAAAAGGCCGGGACGGGGCTAGTGCAAACTCAAAATATCCTTATCCTTTTCCCTCCTCTCTAGTTTCATACTTTTGATATGATGCACGGGCACTGTGGAAAACTATGGGAACCACGAGATGCAGAGCCAAACTTAAGAAATGGGGCTGCAAAGTGGAGCCCACAACATGCGAGTGTGGAAAAGAGCAAACCACAGACCACCTATTACAATGCACAATGGAGGACTTTCTTATAGCAACACCAGAGGCACTCCAAGTGGCCAGCTACTGGTCAAAGGACATTTAATAGAATGCCAAGTTTTTTAACTTTGTGTTTTCTCAAATACATTGGTTTGCTCCTGATACGATAAATAAATAACTGACTTGGAAAGAGGAGATCTGCCCTTAATGCCCCACAAGATATGTTCCTAAAGCCACTGGACTGCAGTCTTAAGCATGGAATCCTAGGTGTGCTTACTCTGAAGCAAGTTCCACTGAAACTATTGAGGTTGACTTCTATATAAATGTGTTTCCAGCTAAACCTAGCACATACCATGCTTGACTCCTAATCAAACCAATTAATGCCTTAACCTTCACAAGGAGCTGGGTCTGCTTCTTTCCTCCAGGATGAGAAAAATGATTACATGAGCTTTAAACTTCCCAAGGTAGCTATTGCTTCTCTGACCTCTTCGGGAATTGCAAGTAGCAGCTCATGTTGCTCAGGACAGATAAATATTTGTTCACTGCACAAGCAAAACCAAATCATTCTATTTGAGCACAGCCAGTATTTCCTTTTATTTGCCTTTCAGCAAAGTGTTTTGCCTTCATCCGGCTTGCTTTGACAGTGTTCACCAAAGGAGTTCTGAAAATACTGTCTTTTACAAAGATAAAGCCAATGGGCTTTCTATTGTAACTGTACGCTATGACTCTGGAGTCTGTTTTTTCAGGGCGGGCCCTGACTTGTCACAAGGTAAATTTACCTGCTTCAGGCAACACCAGAAGAAAGGAACAGATGAAGAGAGGCATGACATTCAACTGAAGCAAAAGGTCAAGTCGCATAAACTTGGCGATTGTGACCCTCCAGATGTTGTTTAATCACAGAATAGATCTTTATAGGCAGCCTGTGTGTGTGTTTATAACTGTGGAAATGTAAAATGTGTAGTGATTAGGTGATAAGTTTAGTTTTCACAATGGCCACTGTAAGACAAAGACAGGAATCAAGATGGTTATTGAAGTACAAAGGTGGTCTCTTGTTGCACATTAACATCAGAATGTTTAGATGATTCAATTATTTGGTTTAATGTAAATGTTTATTTAATTGTATGTTGTTTTTATGGCATTGAATTGTTGCTTATGTGTAAGGCCACTCTGAGTCCCCCTCGGGGTGAGAAGGGTGGGGTACGAATATGGTAAATAAATAAATAAAACACTCAATTTGTCACCATATTCAGGTGTCACCAAGAGACATCAACCATCATTTTTGACTATGAACATGCTCAATACTTTGCATTTGTGTGGAAGAGCCAATTCTTTTTTAGTTGTCACTTAGTAAGATTATTATTTTCTTGCAGTTCAGAGAGTGAAAATGGAACAGAAGAAAGGAAGAAATCTGGCAAACCATCCCCTCGATTGTCACAGATATCATCTACTGATGCTGAATATTTTGAACACCAGAGGAAAATTTCAATTTCGAGGTAATAAAGAACGACAACAGTGTAAACTTTTCAAAAATAAAATCCATGCATGATAGACATTAACATAACTGTGCAGCCTGCAAATATCAGAATTCTCCCAGGGTTTATGTATTAAGCATAAGCTAGGTTTAGATCAGAAGATTTCTGACAGAAACCCTTCTCCACCAGCCTCTGAACCAGAAAAAATAACTTTAGTGTTGCTTAAGATATGACTAGATGCAGGAACAATCACTATATACAGTAAGTCATAAAACTCAGGAAGGGAATAGCCCAACAATTATCAAGCCCTTTCATAAATGTCCAATTAAGCACCATGGCCATAACTACAGCTATTGCTATGTTCCTTTAGTCCACATGGCTATAAATGGCAATTGTCTATCATTAAGGGAGTTGGGCAGGATTCAGTCAGAGTATATATGATATGGGAGGAGATTTAGGTCTTCAGTCATGTCATAATATAGCACCTATTCCATCCACAAGAAGTAAGGCTCCATGGTAGAGGATAGATTTTGTAAATAGTTAATCCCAAATTTATTCCCTGACAACTTGTCCTTCTTTCATTATTCTAGGTCAAAGACTGTTGTTGATAATACCTTCTTTGCAATTGATGGCAAAAATGACTCAAAGCCTGAAAGAAAGAAGCATGCTTCAAATCAGGTGTGAAAGAAAAATGTTTACTTATTTGTGATGTGGACGGATGTTGACTCATTATGGCCAGAGGGGGGAAAAACATTCTGTTATGGACTGATTATGGCAATAGATCTACTGCAAAAGATCTGTCTGGGGAAAAAGATAGCACTGGAATGTTTCTGCTCCTCTCTCTTGAGATGTGGGATCTATTAGCAGAAGTGATACATCCAACTTCCTATTATCAGGGAATTATTATGGACACGGTAGTTAAGAACCTAGGTACAAAAACAGACTATGAGTTATTTTTACATACCCTTCCACTATTCCAATTGGCAGGGACAGACCCAATTAAACATGCCTTCCCTCTTTCTCAGCTACTTTTAAAGGGTCCCTGTTTCTCTCTCCTCCTCTCAATTTCCCTCTTTATCTTCAGTTTACTTTAATTGCTGCAAATTGAGGGCCCATCCAGACAGCCCCTTTATCGAGGAAATTTCCACAATAAAAAGGGGGCTGTCAAGATGATGTTCAGGCCAACCCACAATTAATTCACCACAAACCAAGAATATCCTGATTTGTGGTGAATTAATTAGATAGTGGATTTATTCCGTGCCTTCTCGGAAGGCATGGGATAAACCCACTAGTTCCCACAGATTTCTGGACTAAACTGTGGGAATCCCACCCCCCTCACCTACAGTCACCAAAACCCTTTTAAAAGTAAAATAAACTTACCCAGCTTCCATTACAATCTTCCTGGAGCTCTTCCAGCACGTAGAAATGACACACCAGGAGAGCTGAGGGGAAGGAGAGATTTTCCTCCCCCCCCCCCCCCCCCCCCCCGGCTGCTGTCCTGGTGCACCATTTCTATGCTCTGGGAAGATTGTAATGGAGGCCAGGTACATTTCTTTTACTTTTAAAAGGGGGTTGGGGAAGGTCTCCAAATGTTCTGCCGGGCCAGTCCTTGCAGAACATCTGAACACCCACCCCAGAAAGCACGCACTTGTATTCAACTAGTTTGAATACAATTCACTCAGCAACTGAAGGAGGAGAAGATGATGGGTGGAATCTAGCTTTTTCCAGTAGGCTTGAGCAAAAGCAAACTGCTTCAGCCTCTCCTGTCTTGTATGCTCTTTCTCATTAATAAACTTTGACATCTTGATCACATTCTGATGTTACTTGCCGACACATATTCTGGGTTTCATCTGTGAAATGTGGGTAGATATGTTACTCCCTCTCTCCAGGAAGAAAAGAACAATAACCAAATTTTGACCTCATCTTGGCAGGGCCAGTATCCCCTAGGAACCAAACAACATGATGTTCCTTCCTGCTGCATTGCCCAGGAATGGTGTTCTAAGCAAACTATACTATATAAGCATGATCTATATATTGTCATTGTGCCAACATTCAAACACGGCCCTACAAGAAAATTGTAATTGGGACTAACCTTGGACATTTTCACAATGTAGTCAAAGTATCAAAATCATTTTCCCTAATCACAAGTTATGGGTCTTTGGGGATCTCTATCTTATTCTATTTCTGTTACCACTGTGATCCCTTCCCTGGAGCTTTCCTCCCTTTCAGTAGGTAACAGACTCAAAGTCTTTATTGGTCTCCTCCGTTCCTGACAATCTTGGGTGTTTTGTTTGACTTTACTCCTAGTTTCTTCCACTTCCTGATACAGAAAAATGGATTCACCTTTACTTAAATATAAGAGAAGCATAGGTTGAGATATGGTGAACAGGGATATGGGTGATAATATGAATGCAGTAATAATTAAAATATATTTCATTTTTTCCTGTCTACAGTTTAAAGCAAATGCTCACTTTCACAAGCTGTTTCTGGATGTCCCAATTGATGAACCTTTGAGACAAAGTAAGCTGAAAGTGCTAACATTTTCTGTTATTATGTCATGTTCTTATGAGCTGTGTTTTCATTTGTTTAAATACATCTTTTTCAATGAATAATATACTGTAATCTCTATTGCTTGTTATAATGTTAGTATATGATGTTCAGCTATTGGCTCATAAATTTAGATATTCTAGGGTTTTTTTAATCATCTATTCCAGGCCATAGCCAGAATTGTTCTTCCTCATAGAATCCAATGGCTACTTAATATTGAGTACTTTCTTCCCTGTAAATGCTAAAGTTCAGGTTACAAAAGCACTAAGATGTGATCCAAGACCATTTGGCCTTTGCAAAGTTATTTTTCCCTTAAGAATCACATCCTGCATTTTTTTAATCACGTTATATATGTAGAATATGTGAAATATATTTCTTAGAGGATTTCACTAGTGTAACTGTTAGATAACCTGTCATATCTGACCTTTGTAGATTTCACCTGTGCCTTACAAAAAGAAATCTTGTACCAAGGGAAGCTTTTCATTTCGGAGAATTGGATTTGCTTCCATTCAAAGGTCTTTGGCAAAGATACTAAAGTAAGTAAAGTCACTTTTATGAATTAGATTCAATGAGTGCTGCCTAATTCTAATTTAATGTTCATATTAATGTTCATATTATTAAAATAATAATTGACATAACATGAAACATAACTATAGAAAATCTGATGTTCTTGCTCCAGCTTCCATAGCATTGGCTTCAGCTATGTTTAATAATTGAAGTGATTTTTCTACATTGTTATCTAGGTATTTGATCTACAAAACGTATTGTAGTGCAGGTGTGGTTGTGTTCACAGTGGCACTGTGGTAGATGATACTAACCAGTATTGCCAGGATCCTTTCTTTAGAGAAGTGGTTCTCAACCTGTGAGTCCCCAGATGTTTTGGCCTTCAGCTCCCAGAAATCCTAACAGATGATAAACTGGCTGGGATTTCTGGGAGTTGAAGGCCAAAACTCCTGAGGACCCACAGGTTGAGAACCACTGTTATAGAGAAACCAAGTTCTAAGGGAGCAACATGCTATTACTAGATTTCCTCTATACTAAGTTACATTAGAAGTGGAGTAGACTGAGGTCCCATCTACACAGTGAACATGCCCCTTATGTTTTAATTGATTATTTCATCCTTTCCATTACAAATAAATTCTACATGGTATTTTTTGGGGTCACAATCCTGAAAGAAAAGTGAAGTGGTAGTCACCATCACCACAGTCATCATCTCCCTGTGCTTGACTATCCCAAAATGTTGCAGAAAATTATTGTGTGGAGAAATGCATATTTATTTGTTTATTTTGCACACAGCAATCTTTTGAATAATGTATGTGATTATTGCTGAGGAGCAACCTCAAGATTTAGGGTGCTTCTTATAGCTGGAAGATGCCCATACAACTGATCATTTGCAACATGCTGAGTAGTATTTTGCGCATTAAATGTTTGCTAATGGTTGGCTTTTAATGAGTCCTCCTCAGTTTTCAAATCATTATAGTTGTCATCATTGGATTTTTAAGAGAAGCAAATGCTGGACCATTCAGGATGTTTGTAACTTTAAATATTGTGTATCAAAAGCATTATTTCCTGTTCAGTATCCCATGGGGAATGCTAGAACAGAAGAGCATAATACACACTGTCACAACCTTACTGGCTTTGTTAGTACCAATAGAAATATAATAATGCTTAAGCTTCATAAAACCATAAACTATTTACCCATTATAGGCTGTTTCTAAATAAATTGTCATTTTCTCACTGCAATTACAAATATGATTTCATTTCAGATAACCATACCTGTCCACTCTGTCACACTAATAAAGAAAACTAGAACTGCCCTTCTTGTGCCAAATGCTTTGGTTATAACAACTGTTTCTGATAGGGTGAGTTCACATTTTATTTTTGATGTTTCTCCTGTTTCCAGTTATTTCTTGTACTATTATTATTATTATTATTATTATTATTATTATTATTATTATTTTAAAAAAGGAAACCTACATGTATTGTGGGCCCTTGGTATTTGCTTCCAGAATCTCTCATGGGTATCAAAATCCATTATTGTTCAAGTCCCATTAGTGTATGTTAAATGGCATACTACAATGGTGTCCTTTATATAAACTAGCAAAAATCAAGATTTACTTTGTGTGTGTGTGTGCAAGCATGCATGCATGCATGCGTGTGTGCATTCAAGGTTGAATTTATGGGTGCAGAATCCATGGATGTAACAGTTGACTGTAACTCTTTCTTTAAAAAAATAAATGAATATAGGAATTGTTCTTCACAATTGATAAAAAGCTGTTGCAGTGCATGAAGTGACTGTTAAAATATAACTCTAGGGGAACTGACTTTTAGTAAACTTATGTATTACTTTCATACATCAAAACTAGCAGGCTATTACTAGACACTTGAAAGCCCTGTATAATTTCACATTGCTCCTTGAAAAATTATGGTTGGGGCCACAATTTACAAGTTTCTGTATCCTATTACATTGTATCCCACAACTATGAATTATCTTTAAAAACTTTTGTCTTTACTAGCACACTGTCAATACAGACTATATATAACAGACTATGGGCCCTTCTAGACAGGGCCTATATCCCAGGATCTGATCCCTGGTTTTCTGCGTTAAACTGGATTATATGAGTCTGCACTGCCAGCTAACCTGGGATAAACAGAAAACCTGGGATCAGATCCTGGGATATAGGGCCTGTCTGGAAGGCCCCTAACACGGCTTTTCCTTTGAAAACTATTAAAATATGTTTTGTCTTTAAAAGCAATTGTTTAATTAGATGATACGTACGCGTGTGTGTGTTAAAAATTAACAAAGATAAATCCTGGATCCTTCCATTAATTTTAAATATTGTTGCTGGTTTTCTTTTCAGTACATATTCGTCTCTTTTCTGTCCAGAGATACAGCTTATAAGCTATTAAAATCTGTTTGCCGGCATCTAGAGGTGAGTTATAAGTATCTCCAAATGTTACTGTCTAGGTATGTTCTTCATTACCAGCTGATTCAACTGTATAATTTTAAACTATGTTTTCAGGATTTCAGTGTTGGCAACAGTCCCAATCCTTCTTCTCCAGAAAACAGTTTCAGGGGTGATCGCCCTACAACTTTACCTCTGGTAAGTGATGCTGTGGGCATCAAAAACAGCATCGGTACTGAAAAACTATTGATGGATTATATTCTTAATTAACAGCATTAAAAAGGACAAGTTTCAATTAGCCTCAAGTTTACTTCCTACCTCACTCTCCTATAGCAAAACCACAATGATAATTTGGGGACGTTTTTACTTTTTAGATTAATAACAGTATATTGCTGTAATGTTACATCCCTTACAAAGTATAAAATATCTTAACTATAGTTCATGTAAACAAGCAAACATAGTTTACATAACTGGTTGGTTTAAGGGTGCTGAGAGCCAGTGTGGAGTAGTGATTTGAGCATTGAACTAAATTTCCAGAGACAAGGATTTGAAGTCTCACATAGTTAAGGAAAACCAAGGGTGACTTTGGTCAAATCAAAGCTGCTCAACCTCAGAGAAAAGCAAAGCCCAACCACCACCACCCCCAAAAAATCTTGCCAAGAAAAACCCATGATATGTTCTCTAGTTGGGTTGCCATAAATTAGAAATGACTTGAAAGCACACAACAACAAGAATTGCAGGTTTAGACATGATAAATCACACATAATTGAAAACATGAGCGAAGGAAGAGATCTTTACATGGCCCAGTCCTATTTTACAACCCCAACTACAAAACCACTCCCTGCCCCACCCACCCAAAAAAAACTATATATCTGGGGAAACTTCAACATGTTCTGTGCCCCTAACCCCCACAAAAGTGAGGGCCTGTTGTAATGTCATAGGGAAGTTAGAAACGTCTTCATGTTAAATTAGACTAGATGTCCCTTGGAACTCTATAATTCTACAGTGTGAGAAAATTCTTACCCATTCAACTAGATTAGGTTTGCAAAGTGTGCCTTCATGAGGATTATCAAACAATGATCAGTGCAGTTGTTTCCTCCATTGCAATCCTATACAGTTAGCTAGAAGTAAGCTCCAGTTAGCTCAGTGACTGGAGTTGACTGACACAGGAGTGCATTATGAATGTGCTGTGCTATTTTAAGCCAAATTGCTTCAGCAATGAGATGAGGGGGAAATAGCTAATAGCCTGGTATTTTTGATGCACTTTCTAGGATTTCAATGAAGACTTTTCTGAACTAGATGGCATCATCCACCAACGCAGGCAGGAGATGGAAGAATCCAGTAGCACTGGCTCGCAGACTCCAGAACTGGAACATTTCCAAGGTATATATAAAGCATTTTATCTAGACTATCAGATTAGAAGTCTTTCTGTCTAAGGGTTTAGAAAAAGGTACCTTCTGTTTATGTAATACTTATCTGAATTTGCAAAAAGTTCTACTTTTTATAGTGGCTATTTTTACAATGTATCTGTGAGTGCTGGTCACAAAATGCCTGATTTTATTGGGAATGGCAGCATTCTTCCAATTTAGTGTTTCTTGTGAGAATCCATACTTCAGTTTGAACATATAGTATGCAGAATCAAACTTTGAGTGAAGGTGTCCTCCATCTCAGCACACAGATAAATTTGCCTGTCATACAACACTTTTGCCACAGTTGAGGGATGGAGTCTGCCAGATCCCATCAAACAACATAATCTACTTCCAGCAGGGCACCGTCCTTCAACTGTGGTGAAATCATCGTAAGAAGAAACTATAAGAACATGAGAGGCTTCCTCCCCCATGGTAAGGGGCAATGCAGGCAATATGGGGCACAGGGCAACCATTTTCGCCCACTGCCCTCCATATTCACCAAGCTGCATGGCAAATCCCTGCATGATTTTAAAATAAATACAGTAGACCCAGTTATTACATGAACTCTTAGAACACAGTTTCATTTGCACAAGAAGAGCTTTGGATACCATTGAATAACTCTGCCTATATCTAGCCATGTCAAGAGAAGAGTTTTCTCTAGGTCTCCAAAGCAATGTTATGGTCAATTTCTGCTGGTACTTCCACTGAAAGTTGACCATAAAATCACACTGGAGGCCTGAAGAAAACACTTCTCAAGAAATTGCTATGTCCTTCAGAGCAATTCTATAGTATGGTTTGGTCAGAAGCCCAAGATACAGTTCATTTCAAGTAAGAAAAACAGAGTTACGGATTATGTAAAACTCATATTACGCAAAGGGTCCTGGAATGCATTCCTCATGTAATGTGTGAGTCTACTGTAATTTTAATTGAATTTCTTAAATTCATTTAAATAGAAATAACCCATAGCATTAAAGAAAATAGTTGTGTACATTCTCATTTGGAGTTACACATTCATTCTCAAAGTGCAAATTCAAGTTATTTCATGCGTTATTTGTAATGTTTTCCATGCTTCTGCTTTTCATTTAATTTTTTTTGTTGTTCAATAGATTATCACCTGGTTGGCAGCCAAGCTCATCTGAGAGCATCCCAGGTGGAGACAAATGCGCTCCATGCAGATGGACAGTCTAAACATTTGTGTGATGATAAAGTCAGGAATGCTTCAAGAAAAGGTAAATAAACACAATCCACTTTTATACATAGTGCTAGGAATAAAATTGATGTAGACAACCATCTGCTTAAAAACACTATGGTTTGAATCCAAGTGTCCATCCACAAACAGGAAGTGTCTGCTGTACACAAAAGGGCTATGTTATACTTTGTGTGCTAGAACAGTGTGAGCAAAAAGAAAAATATATTGCAAAGATGTTCGCTCAGTTCATTGAGAATGCATGCAGCCTCTGGCAGAAACATTAAAACTGCTATAGAACCTACCAATTATATTACTGACTCATGAATTAGTATGCATTTGCTGAATACTTCTCGCATTTCTTTTCATTCACGTCACACTTCAAGGGATCCAGGCTCTTTCTTCAAATCAAAACACACTTTGGAGAGAAGGGGGTTTTTTTGTTACTAGACTTGTGCACAGATCCATTTTAGCCATTTTCCTTTGGCTGTCAGCTTTTCCGGCTTCTCCGGACGGCCATAATGGCAAGGCCTCAGCTGCCATAAAGTTTTTTTGCCCAAAATGGCCCATGTGGCTGCTGGGCACAGCTTCTTCCCTCCTTTTTGGGAGCATGCGGTGCATGCTTCCTTAACCCCATTCCTCAAACCCAGGGCCCCTTGAAAGGAAGAAAGAAAAGGAGCACAGAAAGGATGCTTCCTTCATCCCATTACTCAAACCCAGTTTCCCTTGAAAAGAAAAAAGGGTCCCAGGAAGGGCGCTTCCTTAACCTCATTCCTCAAACCCAGATTCCCTTGAAAGGAAGAAAGGAAAGGGTCCCAGGAAGGATGCTTCCTTAACCCCATTCCTCAAACCCAGATTCCCTTGAAAGGAAGAAAGGAAAGGATTCCAGGAAGGATGTTTCTGTAACCCTGTTCTTCAAACCCAGCCCCCCTTGAAAAGAAGAAAGAAAAGATCCCAGGAAAAGAAAGGGGAACCTCTTAATGGTTTGGATCTTCTTGGATCTTTCAGCTGCCTAGCCAAAAACATTTTTTTTCCATTAGCTCATTTTTGGGAGGTTTCCGAAAACAGATCTAGGTACCCAACGAAATTCGAATACTAAAAACGGATCGCCCTCCAGCCAAATTGCACAAGCCTATTAGTTACCTACCTTCATGCCAATTCTGACTTATGATTACTCTTTCATAGGATTTTCATGTGATGATCTATTCAGATAGATTTGCCACAATGGTTGAGAGAGAGTGACTTGCTCAGGGTCACCCAGTTAATTTCCACAGCTGAGCATGGATCCTGGTCTCCCAGAATCCTAGTCCTGCCAGGAAAGCTGATAGCATATGAAAAAGGGACAAAAGTATGCAAAAGAGAAGTCCCCCTGGGAGAAGCATACATTTTTTTTCTTTGTGGGAGAACTGATGAAAGGACTGGTAGCTGTATATAGAAAATGTCGTTTAGCTGACATTCCCAACATACTAGAATATTTTTTCCAATTCTGTTTTTTCTTTCATCTATAGCAGGATCTCTATATGCACCACCAGAATTGGTTATACGAGCATCATATACCTCATAATGCGATACTGCTAGGTTACCTGTTTAGGATCATCACAGACTTTGAGGTTACCAGATCAAAACTGTAGACCAAGAAATGTGTATACATTAAATTTCAACCACAATTGCTCACAGCTTATCATTAAAACTCAGAGGAAATGTATTTTCCTGTTTGGTAACTGAGACAGAATTCTTAGCTATCCTTAAATCAAAGTGAAATAAGGGGGTTAATCTTTCTCACTTTCTTATGGAAGATGGAATAAAGAATGTCTGAATCTAGCCAATAATTGGCCTGCCACATTTGGGGGAACATCTGGCATCCCTAGATACAACTGTTCAAATGTTTAGAATTGCTTCCTTTGCCCCACTGTTGTGAATATACCCTATATACTCATTATACATCTAGAAATGTTTGTCAAAAAACAAACCTATAAACTTATCCTGAGGCCAATGTGGGTACTGTACCTAACGCTTATCACAAAAAGGAACCATTCTTTTCTCTGAGTGGAATGGTGAAAGACAACCGCTTAGTCTATCCAAAAAGGAGCACTAACCTGATATAGTGCAGCTTCTTGACCTCTTTGAATGCCTGGGCAAGAAAACAGTAGTGGTGGCTGGCTCCCTGGGGTGGTGCTGGTTCTTTCCCCTCTTCATGGCTATGGGTCATATCAAAATTCAGAATTTTGGCCCCACAACCTGCTGTTCACTTATAGGAGGTCAACATACATGGGTATATATGATAGTTCCAATCATATCAGTTTGTGCTTTGAATGCTATTTTCCATAGAGCTGAGAGCATGAGCTCACTAATCCATTAATCACATACTTAAAATGTAAATTTTAATGAAGGTTCCTTTAGCTGTAAACATGTCTAGTGCTGATGATATTACAGTAACCAACAAACTCCATTGATTTCGTATGCCTGCACTCATGTGCTATAACAGACAAAACCAGTCAACTTTCATTAAATGAAGTCAAAATTTAACCTGCATTACCATGTTGTATTATTATTTTTAATTTGATATGGGAAAAAACAACTAGTATAAACTTATCGCTATCTAGCAATTCTATTCTCCCATTGGTTGTTCAGTTATGGAAATGCAAGAGAGGACCTTCTTAGTGGCTGCCTCTTTTCTCTGGAACTCTCTGCATAGGAAAGCCAGAGTGGATCTCTCCCTGCTATCCTTCTGGTATAGCATGGAGTTTTTCACAAAGAAAATTTTTAAGATCAAATCAGGGGGTGTTGTGTAGTGTTCTGCATATTTTAATTTGATTTTAATATTTTAATTATTCATTTTAAAATAGTACTAGGTTTGATTCTGTTTAAGTATTTATAGTCTTTAGGTTTTAAATTGTATATATTTTTCTGCCTATTTTCACCACTTTGCGTCTCCTTTAGAGAAAAAAGTGGTGGTATAATTAAAAATCATCATCATAACAATATCAAGACCTATGTTGGCAGTCATAAGTATGTTTTGTTCATCTTATAGTTCCATCTGGCATCCTTGGATATTTCCATCAATGGAATTACCAAACATTGTTGTCTACGAACCACATACTTATTCTCTATGCAGTTCTGTAAGTAAGCCACTTTTTGCTGTATACATGTTCTGCTGCCCACATACCCACCAATACTAACAGGCTAAAAACAAGAGGCAAGCTATTTTTCTGGGGACTGCACTAGTATAAATCTGAGATATAGTCAGAAAGTTGGACCTCCTGAGGTTAAATAAATTGCTTACGCATTCCTTTCTCCTCTTATTTCTTACACACCAATCAAGCACTCAATACATTCCACAAGGCAAGAGAGGGAAAATGACCTTTTCTAAATTGTTCCACCTCATATTATGGATAATAGGCTTATGTAGTTTTCCAGAAGCATTTTGACAAATTCCTGGAGGCTAACTAAAAGTAGATTGAGAGATATTTTCAAGGATTATAGGTCAGTACAAACAGTCAGCAGCATCACAACCCAAGCTACAGTTAAGGGGGAGCAGTGAAGCTGGCAGTAATGAAACATCACTGAGGAAAGCTTACTGTGTTATATAGCAAAATATATCAGTTCTCAAGGACTCTATAGGCAGCCCTCCATATCCATGGATTCTGTATTCAATCACAATGAATCACAGCTTGAAAATATTCCCCACAAAAATTCCATAAAGCAAACCTTGATTTTGCCATTTTATACTGTATAAGGGATATCACTTTACAGTGCCATTATGTATAATGATAGTTGAGTATCCATTTATTTTGGTATCCATGGCATTACCTGGTACCAAACTCCTGTAGATACCAAGGACCTGCTGTATTAAAACCTCTGAATGCCCTTTTGTTTGTCGAAGCTTTGCTGCCTTATATCGTGGCACATCCGTTTGATTGCAACAGAAAACTGACTTAAATTCTTAATAGTTTAATCATGGTTAATTTAAGATAACAAGAATTTCTTAATACACTTCCAGTATCAGCAAGCACATACTTATGATTTCAGGCAGTCACATGTGTTTTCTTGTCTGTTTCTCACCACACCTCTCTTGCAGGGTTTGTGCACTCGTTTTCTCCACATTCTATATGAGATACAAAATCCACATTCTGGAAGACCAACTTGGCTCCATGACTTCCTTCAGGGATTCATATATTAATGAGTAAGCCTGAATTTTCTTTGTTCCCATGTTCCATATTTATCTAAATATTTACAATTACTTGTATCCTATTGGGCACATATGATCACAATTAATTATAATACTGGAGAGTTCTAGTGCCTTACCAAACTCCAGGATTCCATAAGATGCTGCCACAGCAGTCAAAGTGGAACCATGTTGCTATAAATATGTCATGTGAAAGGGATATCTCATTTCTGTGTCCATTCTAAACCAACGGACACCTTCTAAAACAAAGGCAAAGAATTGACTAGCCTTCCACATGGTGTTGCACTGCTAATTCCAACAGCCTTGGCTGACTAATCAAATGGTGGTGGACCACATAAGAGGTCTTCAAACAGGCCCTCAAGATGAAACCCTTCATCTTGGCTCTCTCATTGAATCCAGATTTTATCAGATGAGTTTCTTCTACATATGGTGGTGTCCAGCGTAGTAGCTTTGTGTCTCCTATTGTTTTGTTATTTTGCTGCTCTTTAGTGTGCTTTGAGATTTTTAAAAACACATATTTGCTACTGTGGAAGAGTTTTCCCTAAAGGCTGGATTTTAAATGAAATAAAATTAATTGTTCTTTCTCCTTTTTTCCATCCATATTGTGCAGACATCCAGTACCGGAAGGCTTGGCATCCTATCTGCACCTTAACGCTGATGGTCTTTGCGAAGAACTGACAGCTAATCTTATCAAACTAGAAAAGGTAAATATAGAGAAATGCTAAAATGTATTTGTTAGGTTATAACACCTAACCAAAAGGAGCCAGATGTTGTGTGTGTCCTTTGTCCTACAAAAATGCGGTTCTTATGTGCAAGAATGATCTTTGCATGGAGAACTGTAGTGTTTGAACTCACCCTTCTACAGAGGAATAGCATCTCACAAGTACAATATCTCCTTTTTCAAAACAACTAGCATGCTGGATTACATACTAGGAACTTACTAAGAATACACACTGAAAATTGAAGGTGAAGATACATTTCACATGCTGCAGAACTGTGCTGGCAGGACAGCTGACCAATAGGTCAGCTATTCAAGTCCAGGGAGAGCAGGTTGTGCTCCCTCTGCCAGCTCCAGCTCCCCATGCGGGGACATAAGAGAAGCCTCCCACAAGGATGGTAAAACATCCAGGCATCCCCTGGACAATGTCCTTGCAGATGGCCAGTTCTCTCACACCAGAAGTGACTTACAGTTTCTCAAGTTACTCCTGACACAAAAAAAGCCTTCCATTAGAAAGCATCCTTTTAGAACAGCCCTTTTTACAAAGTGTGAACTAGCATACTTGTGTTCATACCAAAACAGTAAAAGGCATTCCCTGAATTTCATTGGATGGCATTAGCAATGTGTGTTAAGTTGTTGCCTGCACCTTGAAGATCCTGTCTGCCTTTTGTTAATTTACCACTTGCAAATGTAAATGTCTTTGCCAACCTCCACAAGAAAGACTGGAGTCCAAAACTAGGCAGATGGCCTCTGTGCAGTTGGCAAAATTAGGCTACAGTTCCTTACAAAATGTATGCCCTGGGAGTAAACCACATTGAATTCAGTAGACCATACTTACAACCAGAGAAGTAAAAGATTATGTAGTTAATCTCACTATGCAATAAAATAATTTCAAGTAAGAAATATCTCCCCCGACTCCTTGCCTGCTACAGGGGACCTTGTCCTTCTAAGATTTCTTTTTCATTTCCCATACTCAAAATGTTGTAGCCATTCATAGTGGCTCAGTTCAGATATGAGAGGAAGCCATGATGCAGAAGAATGAGCAAGCAAATGGAATTTATGCTGGTGTGATCCTGGTGTATAAACCTAAGTGAACTAAATTAAATGGATTGCATAAATGAAAGTTCATATTTTGTACAAGTAAAAGTAACTTTTCCCCATGTCTTTTTTTTGTATTTTTCTTTGTTAAAGATACAGAGCAATTTACAAAGACTCCTTGATGACAAAGAATGAATTGCCTGTTCCCTTTGGACTATCTTATTCCTCCTTCTGTTTTATTCTCATGATGAACAACTCCGAAGGTGGCTTCAGCTTTTGTGTCCCAGAGTGTGTATGTACTTCAGCTCCACCCAAATCCGTCCTGCTTCGGAAGTTTGTGAATAATGTGTGCCTAGTCAAAGGAAGATGCCTTTGTACTATCTATAATGTTGTGTGAATAATTGAAAAGACTGATCATAACACTTTGTTGTATTACTCAAATCTGTAGCAATTCTATTTTCTTGAACTGTACTACATTCTCTCTAAAACTGAATGGGTTAAGGAAAGATCATGATTTTAGTTGCACTATGATCCCACTTTAACTGTCATGTCCGCCTCCTATGGAATCTTTGTGTTTATAGTTTGAGGTGGCAATAGAGCAAGGCTTCATGAACTCATGACCCCTTTCTGCCCAAGAAATGTTCACATAACCCCAGGCACAGAGATATATAAAATGGATAAAACATCAAACATTTACTGATAATAAATTAGCAAGGCTTGATAAACAGGCTGAATTTCCTTTTTGTAGAGTAAAGTTGAAGCATTTTCTAAATTGTCCACTATAAACACCGCACATTGTTGCTAACAGATTTGTGTAAATTGATAGCTTTCAGAAACCTGTTGCCAATTTTTTTGTGATCCTAACATTGAGCTAAAGTTTGGATTTGGGACCCACAAATTAAGAAGCAAGTTTCTGGTTGAGAATTCGAAGTATGACTCCCTAAACTGCAAATCCCAGGATTCCATAAATAGGAGCCATTGTTATTAAAGTGGAAACACAGTGCTATTATTAGGGAGTTTGAAAGAGTTCTTTGTTTCTCCTTTATCATGTTCTTTCTGAATGGGACTTGGCATTTTTCATTTTGAGCTTCCAAATGGTTGTGTTCAACTTGTGAATGCCATTCTTGGTCTATAGAGGATGTTTGTGTGGGGTATGTTTTTTAAGGAGGGGGCCGGGTAGGATTAAGCTTCAGTTGCTACTAATCTTTTCCATGTCAGAAGATTATTAAAGACATATCACAAGATTCAGTTGAAAAATCAACAGTCCTAATTTCCATATAGCTAGGTTCAGTTCAAGTGTAGATATCAGTTTCCAAAAGATTAGCTGAGGGCCATTCTACACTGGTAAAAATCTCAGGAGGAACTGGGTTATATTAACCTAGTTACTCCTGAGATTTTGTCCACACACACTCTCACAACCCCAGCCTCCCTTCAGCCCCCCATTTCCCCCAAAAAAAACTTACCTCAGGGGCCTGCCAGCAGCACAAGCCCCTCTGCAGAGTATTCCTGATACCCAAAATTTATGTGTCAGGAAGTGGAGGGGAGGTGGGACCTTACCTTAAGGTCTGGAACTTTTCAGGTGTCAAATTAATGCAAAATAAATTGGGAAAGGTGTCGTTTGGATGCCTTAGAGCCTGTGTAGAAGGGCGCTGAGTCGGTGTGCTGCAGCAAATGCAATGCAAGTGAAGTCTCCAAAGATAATACATTTGTAATATTTTGAAATCGCAAGGATTGTGACTAATTTTCTATGTTAATATTAGTGAGGTCCAGATAGAACCCAGTTGGCCTGAATGTATCCCATATGTTTTTCTGGAGATGGAAAATACCAGCTAGATTTAACAAATCTAAAGCCATGGGAATACAAAACTTAATGGCACAAAGGCACTTAATTTATGCAATGACATTTTAATTTATGCAATGACAATGCCTGACATTTAACTGTTGTATTTGTTTTTGAAGATACACTCCACAAAGTTTAAAAAACTGGCACAACACAATGAATAATATATATTATTTAAAATTGTTTTTCCATTGAATTACATTTTTTCAATTAAATTAAATCCTTCTAGAAGCTGTCATTGAAGTTTTATTCTGAATTAAACTAAAATAACTCAGGGGTCTCTAGACTGCCTTGGGGCAGACTGACAAGCTAGTAAAATAGGCATAACTTTGACATACGCCAGTTTGGTTCCAAACTATTTTAAGATCTTCATGTGTCTAGATTTTAATCACTTGCCTTATAGGATTTGGGAGTTACAATATGTCAGAGTTCAGTGGGACTTTATTATATTGCCTCGTTCAGTCTGTTGAGAGAATGGCAAATTGGTGAGAACAAAATGTCAAACAGGAAGATGTAATGAGCATCAATGGCATCTGAATTATAAACAAAATGTTTTTGTTTTTTTGCTATTATAACACCCATAACTCATCTTCTGACCTTTACTGTTCTCTATACAGTGCCTTGCCGAGGAAAAACACAATGATTCCATTATTTTTGTTTGCTGTATAAGTTGGTTCACATACATGTTATTTAAAGTATCAATATATAAAATACATTCTTCTGTTTACACAGTTGAGATATATCTTATCATTTCTGTGAAATGTAATTTATTTGTTTTTATAATAAATTATTTGCAAAAGTGTAAATTATATAGTTGTTGGTTTGTTTGGGTTTTCTTTTTCTTTTAGAGGTATCTGGATTGGAGACTAATCCAAACATTGGGGTAAAGATGGTATTAGGTGTAATAATGACTTCAAGTGATCCATTATTTCATATGACCACTTCTTTCTGATGTTAAGATCAGTGTCATTGTTAATGCAGCCAAAATAACATGATGTACAGCCAAGAAAGGGCTAAATCCTCAAAGATTTTTATCATTTTGTCAAGGTGACACACTGCTCAATAATTATACCATCTTGGGCACACCCAGTTTCATCTGATTTTGGAAGCTAAGTGGGAACAAGCTTGACTAGTATTTGCCTGATAAATCAACAGGGATTTGTGGGTAGGGCTAAGACAGAAACCTGCCTGCAAGAAGAACTGACGAAGCTGGCCTAGATTATTCAACATGTCTCTCTTTACACTATGAATATATAGCACTTAGAGACTTTAGCAGCCATGGCTCCATTCTATAGAATCATGTACTTCGCAATTTTGTGAGTTATAGTATTTAGAATGCTCTACCAGAGAGGTTTAGCGACGCAACAAACTGCAAACCACAGGATTCTATAGGAAGCAACCATGGCTGTTAAAGTGGAATCAAAGTACTACTGAGGTGTAGTATAGGATTATAATTTCCTGTATATTGATAGGAATTCTCAGTAGCTGCAGAAAACAACCTCCTTGGAACAGAAAACTAGGGAAAAGGAGCACTGAATTTAACATTGGGTGTATCTGCAACATAGAATGAATGTAGTTTGTAGGCCTGGGTAACAACGGAAAAATTTGTTTCTAAAATCGATTTGTATTTGGGGGGTTTTTTTGTTTCGATATTTAAAATAATTACAAAATTTTCCCTTAAAAAAGTTCGGTATTTACGAAATTTCGTTAATATTAACGAATCAATTCGTTAAAATGGCGGACGCGGTTGCGCGACGTGAAAATAATAGTTTTAAATAATAGTTTTAACCTCGGAGAAGGAAAGAGGGGGGAAGAGAGAGAGAGGAGGGGTGAAACAAACCACTTTCTGCCTTCGTGAATGTAAGGGACAGTCAAAGCAGTACTGAAAGATGGCCATCCATTCTTAATAATAATAATAATAATAATAAATATAATTAATATAATAGTTTTAACCTGGAGAAGGAAAGGGGGGGAAGGAGAGAGAGAGGAGGGTGGGTGAGATCTCTACTCTGGTTTGACAATGCTTCTTCTCAATAATAATAATAATAATAATAATAATAACAAACCACTTTCTGCCTTCGTGAATGTAAGGGACAGTCAAAGCAGTACTGAAAGATGGCCATCCATTCTTAATAATAATAATAATAATAATAATAATAATAATAATAATAAATATAATTAATATAATAGTTTTAACCTGGAGAAGGAAAGGGGGGGGGGAAGGAGAGAGAGAGGAGGGTGGGTGAGATCTCTACTCTGGTTTGACAATGCTTCTTCTCAATAATAATAATAATAATAATAATAACAAACCACTTTCTGCCTTCGTGAATGTAAGGGACAGTCAAAGCACTACTGAAAGATGGCCATCCATTCTTAATAATAATAATAATAATAATAAATATAATTAATATAATAGTTTTAACCTGGAGAAGGAAAGAGGTTAGGCAGGCAACAGGCAGGTCTCTGAGTGCTGCACTGCTGTGTCTCTTTGCCCAATGCACGCAGGCCAGAGTGAGGAACGAGGTGAGGTGACGACAGGAGGAGAGGAGAATTTGATCCACTTAAGCCGAGGCCAGGGACCCGGAAGTGGGGTAAATGCCGACCGCTTGCAACCAGGGAGAGGGGAGGGAAACAACTATAAAACTTGCACCAGACATACGGAAATAATAACGAAACAATTACAAAACAATTACGAAATAGATTTAAAAATTCGTTTCGTTTTTTAGTTGCTCCTGAATGGTTTGTTATCGCTTCGTTTACCCAAAAAATAACGAATTATGAACGAATTACGAAATTAACAAACGAAACCGCCCAGCCCTAGTAGTTTGACCCCCACTTTAAACTGCCATGGCTCAATGGGAGCAATGATTTTACAAGGTCTTTAGCCTTCTTTGCCAAAGAGTGCTGGTGCTTCACCAACTACAACTCACAAGATTCCACAGCATCAGGCTATGGCAGTTAAAGTGATATGAAACTTCATTAATTCTACAATGTAGATGCACCCATTGCTAGCAGCCCCACTTTTGTAAATTCTATTTGTGACTAAAATAGATCACATAATGTTTCAGTAAACAAGAGTTTTAGATATGGATGCAGTAGACAAATCGTTGGCATTGTGTGCACTTCCTGTTATTTAGTTATTTATTATTTATTTATTTATTAAAATATTTATAACCTGCCCTTATTGCGAGGCATGCAATAAAAGCAATCTAACAATTTTAAACAGTCCAAATAATGTACATGATGTTGAAAGGGAAAAAAAAACCAAATTCAATCTTTTTTTAAAAAAAAAGATTCAATGAGTTAAAATAGTTTAAAATGAGTTGTTGGAGTTCAGCTTGCAGCATTCCTCTTTATTGACTGGTGGGAATTAGATTTCAACATCTGGAGGGGCCACATTTGCACTAGACAGATGTTGGAGCTCTTCTGCTCACATGCAGCTGTGTGTGTTCTGAGCTTCGATGC